ATAATATTTTATATATAAAATGTCATTCTTGTATAAAGATCATTGGATTTGAGCAAAAAAAAAAAAAAAAAAATACTACAAAAAGTACATGAGGAATTATTTTGTGCTCAATTAGATTTCAGTTCATGGAGTAACTCGGTTTATTTTGGGTTTTTGTATGGGTCATATTAAGCTTATGACAAGAAATCAATATTTGACCATTCTGTTTTTCATTCGTAGATTGATATTTCTAAATATAAAAAGAATGGAAAATGGACAATATTACCACTATCTGTAATACCCAAACTTAGCTTGCCTGATTTATCTACTATTTATCATAGGTAAGTTAAATATATTTAGCATAATTAAAGTTGGTAAACTCCTGAAGTCATTCAACCCAACAATTTGGTCAACTTTTTTACTCAGACTTTAGTAAAGCCAATGTTCATCCCCAAGATGATCTAGTTTTGACTCCCAACAATTTCATTTTTAGCCAAACCAGCGGACTATAAGCATCTGAATCGGTCGATGAAGTGACATATAACTCACGTTGGAGACACGTGCAGAAAGTAGTACGTCATGCAGTTGTGAAATAAAACTAAAATTTGATATTCGGATTTAAAACGTTTAGTATTTTAATTTGAAGTATTTATAGGTTACTTACTTCGTTGCCTGCCATGTTAAGTGCTGCCTTATTTATTGTATGACAAGGTTATGACTTGTTATTCAAGCAATCAATTCCTGGTTCATTCAAAATGGACGTCCTCGCATGTCTTTTTTGAGAATATGGTATAACTCTGTGAACTAATATTCTTGGAAATATGTATTGAGAAGAGGTATATATTGCATAGTATCCATTTATTGTTATCGTTTCCATGGTAATTTAGATATCAGATCTATGTGTTATCATTTTATTATCGTAGATATTTAGATCAAAATATACAATATGAGTGTAAAGATAGACTAAGAATGGGTAAAATAACTGATGGTGGATGGGATGTTTGTGCAGATGAACCTTACAGACCAACTAAAGATGGTTTCGTTTATTCTTTTGGGTAAGCTTTTTCTTTTTCTAAATAAGTGTTGTTGACTGACTTGTAAACACTTGAGCTGCAGTTATTAGCTTCCACTTCCTCCCAATTCTTTTTAGCCACATTCTGCCATTTGTGCAAGAAAAACGCCGCCGCCAATTTGAGTAATCAGTGGCAATTTCTTAGAAATGCCACTGCGAGCGTCAGTGCAGTGGGCCTAGCCTAGATCTCTGCCGCTCGACATTGGTCGTACCCACAAATAAGTCTGTTGAGAGAGCTGAGTGATTGGAAAAGTGTAGGAAGACTACAATGAATTATGATCACGTACAGTTGTCAATGAATGCTGTTGCACTACGCAGTGGGTTGATTATGTAGGAATAACTAAATTGGAAAATAAAACTACTTGTAAATCGTACTTACTAAATCATGAAGCGGCTTGAAACGACCAGGGGTCGACCAAAGAAAACGTGAAACGACCAGGAAACAACCTCAAGTCCGGCGCACACGTGGTGAGTCAACAGCTCGGCTATTTGTCTCGCATGTGGGTTGGCTCAGTTATATGGTTTCACCGCAGACGGTGCAACTTTTCAGCTGTTGAAAATCAATCAGCACCAGCGTTTCTTAGAATCAATAGGTGATGGTCCTTTTTGAGTTCTAAGAATTTTTAATTGGGAGGGATGGGAGAACTGCTTAATTTGACACTAAAAATCAAGGAAACCCATCTTTAAGTTCATTTAGATAATTGTCTCTATTAAAGACTGTGACAATATTGCTTGTTCATCAAATTGGAATTATTAATTAAACTTTCGTTCATTTTTTTTTATTACCGGTAACTTTTATTTTTTATATAGCCACTTCATTTAGTTACAGCCCTCTTGAACTTTCGTCAAATTAATCTTTTTGAACTAACTCAATGATGCCTGCTTTAACTAATCAAATTTCTACCAGCGCAGGCATTTTGTGACGCAGTGGTTATCAGGTAGGTCAAAGTGTTAATTTGAAGAACGTTCAAGAGGTCCGTCGTTAGACCCTAACTGAAGTGGCGATATTAAAAATAAAAGCTAAGAAAAAAATGTAACGTTTTGAGCGTGAAATACATCAAACTGCATGCCAACATATAGGGAGAAATTCCCTTACCTTTCCATTTTTACTGTAGGCCTACAAGCCGATATTTGATTATGAAAAATGGATCCTGATTGGATGACTAATTGTTAATAACCAATCAGCAGTGATTTCACAAACCTACCTCCGGAAGTGAAGAGTTGTAGGTCCGTAGTTCGAAGTACTCTGTTCGCGCAGATATCACGTCATGTATTTTTTAACTCGGAAATTCTTAAATTTGATGTTAAAAATAGTTTCTCTGTTGCCAGGTCGATACAAATCGACAATTTTACTTTGCAGCATTGACATATGCATTTTGTAATGACGACATTGGTATTTTAAAGATGGACATATTTCTCTATATATAATCGTGTATAGTTATCCCAAATTGGACAAAAAAATGATTGATCTACACAAAAAGCGAAATGCCCCGTGTTCGGCCTGGTTATATTCCTGGTCGTTTTTCTGCACGGTTTCTGATTGCGTTTTCTTTGGCCGTTCCTCTTCGTTTCCTAGTCGTTTCTGGTCGGAATATGCTTTTTAGTAAGTATGCATACCATGGTTAAGAATATGGCTTGCTGAAAAAATTTGATCAGCCACTAGAATCAACTTTTTGAAAAATGAATCAGACCAATGGATCTCAATGAATTTTAGGTTCCACTTCACTGTGAATTGATTTCAAGCATTTTGGTATATATAATATTATAAATTATAATTGTTTACTAAGTTATATTTTTACTTGGTTTGTCGTTTTTATTTCAGAATTAATAATGATTTTAGTTTTGATGATGCTATTTCTAAAAAATATAATATTCCAGTATTTTCCTTTGATCCTAGGTATGTGTTATGAGTTTATTTCTTTAAAAAGTCTATCTGATTTAGTGAAGAAGAATCTTCAGAGGAGAAAATATTTATCGAATTTGTTGTGTAATTAATGACTAACACTATTCAGATTTTTCGCAAGAAAGTTGCACACTCTTCCATGTTTGCTCCCATGTGCTAGTCAAGACAACTTAGATGTAATGGACCTAATTCTGACCAATGTAAATTAAAGATTTTATGATATAATTATTGAATTTTGCTCACCAACTGTTTATGGATACTGTTGCATTGAGGGACAAGTTTAATGTTCCATCCATTCTACTAAACTTAAACAATTAGTTAGTATAAAAGAAAAAAATCATTTTGTGAAATGGTTCCTCCGACAAGTTCCGACACTCCGACAAGACATTTGAGACTTGATATTCGCGAATTGAAAAGCATGTTTTTATCACGCGGGCTGCAATAAAAAGTTGGAATGTTTTCACTACGTATGAAAAAACGAAACAATAAATAAATCATTTTTCAACATCTATCGTATGTCTTTTGACAGAAAATGTTTAGAAAGTATGCGCGCTATAGTATGTTTCGGACTATTCTGACCTCTCAAAGCATAGAGCAGAATTATTGCCCGAAATGTTCCTCCTGACCTTTAGGCCTAACCACTTATTATTTCAGTCTGTGAAATATCATTTATCTCATACGACACTTGATCGATATGAGGACCAGTGTTTATAAAATACAATTCTGCAGAAATATGATGTCCACGTTCCGATGGTAAATTCGAAAATGCAGTCGCCGACAAAATCTCAAAAAAAAAAAAAAAAAAAAAAAACAATAACATGGCGCGCTTACTATTATTCACTTTGGAACTCGCCCAGTTGGATAGCTAAACATTTGCTGATTTTCTGTCAAAAGACATACGATAGATGTTGAAAAATGATTTATTTATTGTTTCGTTTCTTCATACGTAATAACAACATTCCAAATTTTTATTGCAGCCTGCGTTATAAAAACGTGCTTTTCATTTCGCAAATATCAAGTCTCAAATGTCTTGTCGGAGTGTCGGAGTATGTCGGAGAAACAATGACACCGGAAATGAGACAAGAATTGCTTGTAGTCTGACTTAAGAAAATAAACATCCATATTTTACCTGGATAAAAATTATTCCAATTTATAGTTGGTGTGATTATTGGGGAAAGCTAACTTATTGACTCACTAAGGAAGATATATACAATTATAGAGTGAATCCATCAAACTGACTGAGATAATTCATTTCTGATTGCATTGCAAATTGTTTTTCTCTTAAAGCATGAATACAAAAGCTCACAATAGAAGTAACTTAGTTCATTTTATACCTATTGGTATAGCAGGAACTAATAAGGTCATAAACAATGGATGGAAGGTTTTACCATTGAGTGATATTTTAAAGGATCTTGGCCATAAAAAAGTAAGTTGAAAATAGTCAAATGCGAAAAAATTTAACTAAAAAAATCACTTACAAAGAATTAAAATTATATATTGCAAGATATTTAATAATATACCAAGAAGTTGAAATGTTAAGCCAAGAAATTCGTATCAAGTACCAATGGAATTTTAATTATTTAAAAAATCATAACTTTAAATTACTGGCAAAAGATTAATAATCAAAACAAAGTATTAAAAGGTTAAAACCATTAAAACTCGATATTAAACCAAATTCGTGCTATAATTTTTGGGAAAATCAGGTTAACGCAATACTGCGTCACTTTCCTAGAAGCCTATAGCCTTGATGGTGTCAACCAAAATGAATTATCATCTAAAGATAAAAATCCCAAACTGACTTAATCTTGATAAGATCAACAGGTGTCTGATTGGTTCCTATATCTCGTTCCTATATATCTCCTGCTAGCAATAGTTTTAACATGTAATTATCCTTAATTAGATCCAAAAATTTTTGCTGTTAGTGTAAATGTGAAATTGTTAGACCATTATGTTGGTATTGTTGCACCGAAGCAAATTTGTAACTTTAACTAAATATGTTATATAAAATTGAAGATTATCAGAACTAATTGGGACGGGAATAATATCATACATACCGCTCACAGTTGTCACGTCAGTCAGTGTAATCACCCAGGAATGAACGTTATCGAAAATCAGAAAAAAATTTAGTATGAGGTATTGATTGCCCTTGTTCTTAAAAACGTGTTCAAGCTTTAGCCTGTAAACACTCTAGAAGGCCCAATTCTTGACAGATTTAGATGAATCTTGTTATTATTATTTAGTATCGCTTCAAAAAGGTCAAAAGATTGAAGGTTTAATATTTCATACTGGTAGTTGTTACTGTACTGCCAAATATTAAAAATCAAAGCTGTCAGTAGGGTTCCTGATTGGTTCCTATATCTCGTTCCTATATATCTCCTGCTAGCAATAGTTTTAACATGTAATTATCCTTAATTAGATCCAAAAATTTTTGCTGTTAGTGTAAATGTGAAATTGTTAGACCATTATGTTGGTATTGTTGCACCGAAGCAAATTTGTAACTTTGAACTAAATATGTTATATAAAATTGAAGATTATCAGAACTAATTGGGACGGGAATAATATCATACATACCGCTCACAGTTGTCACGTCAGTCACCACAAGGTTTCCGTTTGAAATTTCAGAATGTATTTGGTCTTCGACGAGCGCACTAAATTGCTTGCACGATAATTGTTCATTTCAACTGTAGTCAGAGTAACATCCGGTGACAACAGTTTTAAAGCCGTATTGTACACCTTCTCAAATAAATCGATAAATCTGGATAATCGACGTGCCCAAGCATCATAATTTAGGCCGGATCTTACCGGATATTACCTCTCACTCATTTATTAGTTTTTTGAATGATGGACCAAACTATGCTCTAAAAAGCATGTTGAGTACACACGGGCAAGTTTGCAGTTGTTGTACTGCCCAGGATTTGAAAAGTAGGAATCAATTGAATTTCTTGATGCTGAGATTTCGGTATTCTCTATCGAATAATATTACACTTCCTTTGATATATCTGCTGAATATCCTATTGGCCCACATGCAGTGGCGAGGCCAAAGGGTGGAATGCAGAGGGGTTACCCCCGACCCCCCCCCCCCTCGCAGCCCCGAAAGCATGTTTTTCAGGCAAAAATCTAGTAACTAGGTTCAGGCAACCCAAAGTATTTAGCCCCCCACCCCCCACGCGCGGAAGCCCACATAGTATCTGAGGTTGCCCGAATTTCTAACCTAGTTATGAGATTTTTGCCAGAAAAACATGCCTTTTTACAACAATAAATTAAAACTTTATGATTTTGGTATATAATTAATATTCTTGGTATTTGATAAGTTTTTAGGTATAAGATATACAATTTTTGACATTGATTTTTTCTTGGGAGATTTTTTCCGTTTTGGCATTCCATAGATGTGTTCGATGAATTTCCCAAACTTATATTCTGATAATGGCTTTTATATTTAAAATATGTATTAGTAGCAAATGTAAACCATTTGATTAATATTAATAATTGATGAATTTCTATTTTCAGGAAGACCTACAAGTGTTAAAAATGGATATAGAAGCATGGGAATGGGATACTTTTCCTAATCTAATTCAAACTAATTCAATATCTCATATAAAACAATTGTTTGTTGAATTTCATACTGCTAAAAGTTGTTCATTATCTAACCCTAATAGTTGTACTCAATATATCTCAGGTTTAAAATTATTCCATGATTTATATGAATTAGGCTTTCGAATATTTTGGACTCATAAAAATCCAGCATGTTTATTCAAATCAAAATTCACAGGTGAAGAACTCACTTGTTGTCATGAAATTTATTTTGTTAAAGTTTCATAAATATTTCATATCTTCATTAGGCATTTTATACGCCCACATCCGTCGGTCCGTATGCACAATTCTTGACTGATTTTGACGAAACTTGGTTTGATTGTTTGTAATCACCCAAAGATGAACCCTTTTGAAAATCAGAAAAGTCCAAACAATATTTAGTATGAGTTATTGGCCTTGCTTTGACGAAACTCTTTGTGAGTGTTGACCACTATCGAAAATTAGAAGAATCGAAAAAATATATAGTATGAGTTATTGCCCTTGTTCTTGAAAACGCGTTCAATTCTAAACACTCTAGAAGGTTCAATTCTTGATAGATTTTGACGAGGCTTGGTTTGATTGTTTTTTTATCACCCAAGAATGAAGCCTATTGAAAAGCATAAAAATCGAAAAATATTCAGTATATGTGTTATTGCCCTTATTCTTGAAAACCCGTACAATTCTTGATGGATTTTAACGAAACTTGGTGTGAATGTTTGTTATTACCCAAGGATGACCCCCATTGAAAATGAAAAAATCGAAAAATAATTAGTATGAGTTATTGCCTTTGTTCTTGAAAATGCGTTCAAGTTTTTGCACTTAAACACTCTAGAAGGCACAATTTTTGATGGATTTTGACGAAACTTAGTGTGAGTGTTTGTAATCACCCAGGAATGAACGTTATCGAAAATCAGAAAAAAATTTAGTATGAGGTATTGATTGCCCTTGTTCTTAAAAACGTGTTCAAGCTTTAGCCTGTAAACACTCTAGAAGGCCCAATTCTTGACAGATTTAGATGAATCTTGTTATTATTATTTAGTATCGCTTCAAAAAGGTCAAAAGATTGAAGGTTTAATATTTCATACTGGTAGTTGTTACTGTACTGCCAAATATTAAAAATCAAAGCTGTCAGTAGGCGTATATTACCTTGCCTGGCAAGCAATCTTTTGGTATATAGGTCAGTGCTTCTCAACCTAGGGTGACATTTGGCGGGGGTGAAAAAAATCTGAGGGGTGAATAAAAAAAAAAAACAAGGTTGAATTGTCAGAAAAGGGGTGAATTAATATGAGACGTCAACAAATGTGGCTTCATTCTGAGGTAATTAAGAAATACCCGAGACTCGCTACCTGCACTCAAAAACTATTATTGTCATCCCTTCATCATAAATAGTAGAATGCAGGTTTAGCGCGGTGACAAAGATTGTTCATTAAGCACCGGTAGCATATATTGTATTAAGGAACACGGTATCTCTGGAGACTTGATATTCAATAAATGTGAATAAAATTATTTACTTGATTATTGAAAGAGAGCAGTGGCTTCTAGTAGTACAGAGGTAGGGTGGACAGGGTGAAAAAGATTGAGAAGCACTGATATATAGGTATTCACTTTGTTTGGGTTGTTTTTTGTTTTAGATTTTTAGTTTTTGGGGTTTTTTTTGCTCAAATTTATGTTTTAATGATGCTCAGTGGCGTGTTGTTTTTTCTACATGGGATTGTACAAAAGGCACAGGCGTCTGGTTTGCGCCAAAACGATTTCTGCCATTCTAGCCAATTTGGAGCCACCACGTCACTGATGATGATACTTTTTGGTTAATGTTTGAAAACTAATGTATCAATTATAACACACCGAACGTCAAATTATTGAGAAATGTAATTTCTTAAAGAGACAGATGCGCCGTGTTTTTGACCAATGATTATTTAGCTAATCCAATCAGTAATTGTGTTCGCAGCTCACCGTGGAAATCTGGGCCATCAAAGCCACGTGTTTCCAGAATTACCCGCGTTTGAAAGTTAAAAATACGAGTCGTGTCTTCTTGAGACACTGCCATACATAGGAAAGACAGCTATAGAAATTGGAAAAGAAATTCCTATAGTTCGAGATAGTTTTTGAGGATTTATGCGATTTTTGTACGTTTCTATTATTTCTGAAAACTATTTACATATATTCAAGTCTCAAATCAACCCCCCAAAATGGCGCAACTGTCCCATTAATGATTACACTTTATAAAATGATTCCATTTGTAGCATGTGCGCACCATGCACCGGTAAGACTTTATTTGTATTGCACGTGCATTTCTGGTTTGATTAGCGAGTTTGTGTTTGATGCCTGCCTCATTCTATAGTATTGAACCCTATTATGTAGTTAATATAACAAGGAGTATGTCTCTTACTTAAGGTACGGTGCAGTGATCGATACAGTAGAACACGATTCTCTGCTACTATTTTCTATTGTATCGATAATCCCGCACCGTACACCACACACCGCACCGGACACCGTACACCGTCTATTCCCACCTTTATTCTGAAGGTTTCAACTAAATCTTTACTTTGTATACCTCCTACTTGTAAAACTTTTCCTTTTCCTCTACATTTAAACCTTTTCCATGTATGCCTCCCAGTTGTTAAACCCCCTACTAGTCCTACCTGTAAACTTTCTCCTTGTATACCTCCTGCTTGTAAAACCTTTCCTTATAAACCTTCTTTATTTAAACCTTTTCCATGTATGCCTCCCAGTTGTTAAACCCCCTACTAGTCCTACCTGTAAACATTCTCCTTGTATACCTCCTACTTGTAAAACGTTTCCTTATAAACCTTCTTTATTTAAACCTTTTCCATGTATGCTTCCCACTTGTTAACATCTTACTTGTGAACTTGCAAACTTCTTACATTTGTAAACCTTCTATTTATGAACCATCTCCTTGTAAACCCTCTATTTATGAACCGTCTCTTTGCAAACCTACTACTTGTAAACCTTCTTCTTGTAAATCCTCTAATTGTAAACCTTCTACTTGTAAATCTTCTAAATGTAAACATTGTCCCTGTAAACCCCCTTTCTTCTTGTATGCCTACTACTTGTAAAACTTCTACTTCAAACCCTTCGTCCAATTTATTTGCAGTTACAGAAGTTCGATCCTTCAATTGTGTCTTTTTCCTCAATATTTTGTCTAAATTGATTATAAATATTATAAATAATCTAATTTGCATTTAATTGTACGTCGGAAATAAAAAAAAATTAATATATAAAAGTTTTGCACCTTGTGCTTTTCTTGTTAACATGTCCTGCACGCCGTTTTATACCCCCACATATGGGTCGTAAATTGTTGTTGCCCCTGTCCGTCGGTTCGAGTCTATTCTTGTTGGCACAACAAAGACTACAGTTTTCGTCTGATTTAGATGATTTTTGATGAACAGTTTTTGAGTTATTGCCCTTGACTTGAAAATTTTTTGTGGGCACAATAGAAGCTACAATTTTAATTGATTTTGATGAAACTTGGTCTGAGCATTTTATTTAATAAGATCTCGGTCAAGTTCGAATTCGACGATTTTTCGATAAACGGTTAAAATTTCGCCAAAATTTGTTAGTGATCGAAAGAAAAGCTACAATTTTCATCTGATTTTAATGAAATTTGTTTTGATCATATATATTGATGACATCTTGGACAAGTTCGAATTTAAGAATTTTTTGATGAACGGCTTTCTCCATGACAAAGT